GGCACCCACCTGGAAAGCAAAGGAATATAGTTAAAGTTTTGGAAATCAGGTGCCCACTTGGAGAGCAAGGGAATACAGTTAAAGTTTTGGCAATCAGGTGCCCACCTAGAGAGTAAGGGAATACAGTTAAAGTTGTGGCAATCAGGCGCCCACCCGGAGAGTAAGGGAATACAGTACAAATGTTGTCAATCAGGCGCCGCCTGGAGAATAAGGAAATTCACTTCAGAATGCAGTTCAAATCAGCAACAAAGGAAGCTCACTTGAAAAGTACAAGTCAGCAGGGCAGCAGAAACTGCGAGATCAAGTTTAAAGATATAAATAGGATTCCTGTAACTCATAGATCATAGTTTAGTCTAGCTTCTTTTATTTTGTCTTGGTGTAATAAGGAGTTCAGCAAGCAGTAGCAGCAGCAACAACAACAACAGTGAAATCACAGCTTCCTAGTGGTCCCAGCTACCGAAACTTTCTGAACTACACTGACCTGATTCCTTTATAGCCAAGGATATGTAGGCAACCTCGGAAGCAGGGTGCAGTCAAATATTTCAAAAAATGCTTCCCACAGAGTATTCAAATGGGCGAAAATCGCTCGTATCCACTTACTTTATCTTTGCACGAAAACTCTTCATGTTTCCGAGCAAAGAGGGGCAGCTGTGAGCACGTGATTTTTGCCCTATAGGAATTACTCCTATAAAATACAAGAAAAAAAACAATTTTTTCCATTTCTTACAATTTTATAGGATTTTGTGGAATTTGTGCTAATTGTTTGCCTTTCTGTGCATGTTTATTTTTTGTTAAAATCATGAAAATGTTAAAAATACTATGCATTGCATTTAGAATTTATTTTTATATTTTTAAGGTTAACTAGTAAATTAGTTGCTTTATTTAAAAAATAAAAATCACAAAATTGGTTTACTTTTGCATTTTTAGCCTTTTAATTTAAATCAGTAATTTCCTCTTTTAATTTAGGAGTAATTGATTCTTATAAATATTATAGTAGATAATCAGCTTAATCTTTTCAAATTAATTATTTTAGGAGTTTAATTTTGGTTTTAATTAATTAAAATATGAAAAAGAAAATAATTGAAAAATAAAAGAAAAGAGAGAATTAGGAAAGAAAAGGGCTATTTTAATTGAGCCAAATTCCCTACCCAAATGAATTCCCAACCCAAGCCTAATGATCCATACCCGGATTCAACCCAACCTTACTCTCAAACCAAAACGACCCCCTTTCTGGCCCCCCATCTCAACCGTTGGATCAATTGATCCAACGGACTGGAACTCGGGCCCCCTTATGTATTTAATTGTCTGAACCAAGGCAGCCCCCCATTCCACTTCCCCCTTCATTCCCCGTCTCTCAAATCCACCGCCCTAAAAACTTTCATCGTCTCCACCACCTTCCACCCGCCGAAAATCGCCTTACAGCGGTTTCGGCACTCCAAACACCACCAAAATTACACCCTATAATCCCTTTCCTCTCCTCTTTCTAAACCCCAAAATGATTTCCCTTGAATCCCTCTCAATCCTCTCCAATTTTAGATTTAAAACCAATGCCAAAAACCCTAATTTGCCCAAACCTACCCAAAATCTCATTAGGTCGTCTCTTCGTTCCCTTCACCTCCCACATCTTGTCGATTTACTCAAAAGGCCTGTCATATTGAACCAATTCCAAATCTGGTTGAGCATGCATGAGCTTCCAAAGCAATTTGAGCCGAAAATGGGTGTCACTTGTCTGTTCTCAAGGGGAACAGTCATTTGACACCTATTTTTGGATTTAAATCGGAAAAGACGGTCCATCCAGAGCCACTGGTCAATTTTTGCTGTAGGTATTTGTTCTTCTTCCCTTCTTCTATCTTCTCACCATCCTACCCTTCTTTAGCTTCTTTGCATCTCCGATTTCTTCTACTTTTTCTATTTCTTTTGACCGAAAATGAAAAAGGGTAGTTAGTCTTAATTTTAGGCCGTTAGATTTTGTTTTCTTTCCCCTGTGAATAATCATCAATGTTAATCATCAGTTTAGGGTTAAAATATTGCATTTGCCATCATAATCAGTAGTTCTTCATTTAGGGTTTATTTTAATTGGTTAACTTGTGTTTAATGAATTTTGTTCGAAAATCAGCATGTTAGTGAATCGTGGTGTTTTGATTCCCTATTAAGATGGTTGTATTAATTATTTTAGAGGTTAAATCTCAAATAGGTTCATTTATTGATTGTTCTAGCTAATGTCAGTTCTGATTGTTCAAGTGTGGGGTTTATTTCTGATTTCATTTCATATTAAACTTATTTAGGTTTTAGAAATTAATGCCATTTGATTCGATTTGCCTATGGATTCTGTAAGAAAATTGTTTGTTTAGTTTGTAAATGTTCAGAACTTTCAGGGGTTTCAATTGAACAAATAGAAACTTAAAGAGGGTCATGGGAGGGGTTAAATGAATAACTAAGAACTTGGGAGGTTGTTTTGAGAGTAAAAATTCAGATTTTCTGTTTGGGAAGGTTCTAGAATATGGGTAGCTGGCCCAATCTTGGCCAGCACAAGTGCTGGAGCCAATTAAAGGCTGTCAACTGTCCCATTCAGTTAAAAAAGATGCCCTGTAGGCTGAGAATATTCCCCATTTCTATTTTAGGCACATGGACTTAGAGGCCTATAAATGAGGGTCCTTCCTTCACTCTAGGATCAGATTTTCAAGCATTATTCTCTGTACCTAGAACACTGAAAATACACACACATTGAGAGAGTTTCAGAATCAGAAAAACACAAAAAAGGGGTCTTGAGTACTGTTCTATTGGTCAGTTGGTTTTCAGTTTTCTGGGTTTTCAAAAGATCTTCACTATTTTGCTGGCTCTGGGTTCTAAACATAGACTAAGCTGGTTGTGTTGTTGCTGGTCACTATTGTTCTACTGTTGATCTCTTATTTTGTTCATCCGGCTGAACTTTCTTTTGTTTCTGTTGTTGTATCCAGGTACTCCTATGAGCTTTTGGATGGCAAACTAAGCTGTAAAGAATGCTTGTTGTTTAAGTTTGCAATATGAAATCTCAATGTTTAAGGTGTTAAGAGTTGTGGCTTGATATGTATGCTATTCATAATTTGTTTAGTTTAACATCCTATTTTTATGTAATTTAGATGTTTTCACATGAATAGTCAGTTTAGTTTAGTCTCTTTCATGTATTATTTTGGACAATTTTGAGGCAGTAGGCAGTCATGATAACTTATATGGTCATTATTAAAATCTGTTTTGATTCTGAGAGCGCAGTAATAATTATTTGACAGCCCATAGTGTTAGCAATCTTAGATCATTATTCTAGTTTGTCTTGGCTCTTAAGTCAAGGCCAGCTGAACTTTCTTTCTTGAACAACATGTTTTATGATTAATCAGTCAGTTGACATCCGTGCTTTAAGTGTCATGTAGATAATATAGTCGATTCAGCATATTAATTTTTAGATCTTAGTATTCATGTTTTTATTGTAATTTGTATGTCTAAAGCGGCTTGAATATCAAGAAGAGCCTAACAGGTTTAAAGTTTTCAGTTGAACCAGGGCTTGATTCTTGATCTCATAAGTTGTCCTGTTTGTCTCAAGCCCCGAATGCGGCCATATTTGGCCTCAATTTTGTTTTGGGCTTAATTTGATGCCCAATAGTCTTCCTATGTTAATTTAATAAGAAAAGGATTTGTAATGTGGAGTTTTTTTTGTGAAATTGTTGGGTTGGGCATCAGCCCAAGCAAAACAACCTCGATCTTTTTAGACCTGATGAGGTCTTCGAAGGTCCATGCCTTTTGGGTTCAGCTTCGAGCCCAGGCAACCCCATTATTTTTCTTGATCAAATATTAAATGGGGCATGTTGTTGGTCCAGTTTCCCCCAAATAAATTAAAAGCCCAATACATGTACTCCAACCCCTTTTACCATTAACAACCATTTTTTTAAAGTTCAAATCAATTATAGATAAGAGTATCCAACCCGCGTTAATTAGGTGTATTTCTTTTAAAAATAAATTTAGGTGTGCCATTTTAATTAAATCACCTATGGCCCTCATACTAATCTCATAACTTAGATATTAAAAAATGAACTTCGTAGTTTGCTTTAGGCGCGTTAATTATATAATTATCATAGCTATTACTAAAATCCGAATGTAAATTTCATGTGACCCGGTTCCAATCTCCTACAAGGTTAGATAGAACGTGTTGTGAACCACAGATGTATTTCATGTAGCGTGGCTTGCGGTATGTTTTATATAACCTTGGATTAATTCTTTAAATAAATAAAAGCGGTTATAAAGTTAAAAATGCACATAGGTTTAAAAGTATTTTAAAATCAGATAAATATGCCAATAATAATAGTTGAGCGACAGCGCTAAAACCACGGAACCCGAAAATGCCTAACACCTTCTCCCGGGTTAACAGAATTCCTTACCCGGATTTCTGTGTTTCGCGGACTGCAAAACAGAGTCAAACTTTCCTCGATTCGGGATTCTAAACCGGTGACCTGGGACACCATTAATTATCCCAAGTGGCGACTTTGAATAAATAAATAAATCCCGTTTCGATTGTCATTTAAATTGGAAAAAACTCCCTTATACCCTTTCGGGGTAGTAAAAAAGAGGTGTGACACTAGTAATAATTCAACTACTTTTTCCTGGATTTGGAAGCTTCCTATTCAACCTAAAATTAAAACTTCCATCTGGCTACTATGCCACAATAGGCTACCAACACGAATTATCTTAAGGAATATTAATATCATACAGGATGCAAGTTGCATTTATTGCCAACAGGAGGAAGAATCTATAAAATACATTTTCCTTGATTGTACAAATGCTACGAAATATTGGCAGGAATTAGGAATCAACATCATATTAATAAAATCAGGAACTTATCAGTCACACAAACTTGGCTACATGAGCTGATAAGATATAAAGATTTCAAACTTTCTTATAATATATATCCGTACACTTATTTACCGATAAGCTTGTGGAATATTTGGATAACACGAAACAAAAATATTTATTATATGACTCGAGATAACATTCATGTTAAGCACACAACTCAGCAAGCAGCTGAATTCTCATATTTGGCTGCTTCTTCTCACAAAAGAAAAAATAGAATTATCACTACCATAAAATGGAAGCCTCCAACGAGCAATTTTTACAAGCTAAACACAGATGAAGCACATTCAGCCACAACTGCTGGGATTGGAGGGCTAATTAGAAATTCTAATGTTGAATGGATATTGGGCTTCTCAAGAACTGCCCCAAGGGACACATCCATTTCTGCAGAATTGTATGTATTGACTCATGAGCTAAAATTGGCATATGAAAACAACATAGAGCCACTAGAGGTGGAGGTGGATGCAACAGAAGTTATCACACTATTACAATCTGATAATATTCCATTCTCTAACATGATAAATGATTGCAGGTACTTCCTGGGCCAGCTAGATAATCTAGTAGTGCAACATGCGTAAAGAGAACAAAATAGGGTAGCAGATCAACTGGCAAAGGCAGGCCACAATTTTGGAAACAACTATATGCCAAGTGTTTTTGCAGATATCCCAAATTTTGTAGCGCAGGTTTTTGAAAAAGACAAGGAATGTTTGGCAGCTCCTCCAACATGCCGAGGGAACGCTTGGCATAATCACAGCGGTAATCTTGATCAGCCACCTTCGAATATGATCAGTTGTTGTGATGATAGTTCCACTAGGAATACCATGACAAACATAAATATTAGTAGTAATTTAGTACCTTGTAATAGTACAATATTTTGTAAATAGGGTGCAACCCATGCACCACCCCTATGTACGCATTACTTAGTTAATATATATATATTATCTTTCAAACCAAAAAAAAAAGAATTCTATCTTTTTAATTTACGTTATTATGTGTGTGTCTTTACAAAAATACTATTCCTAACAAACTGATATGACATTCGAATTTGAAACTAAACAAAATTTGAGTACTTTGCGTTGAGGTTAAGCCAAGTAACGTGTCCAGAAAAAATTACTCGATAAATTTTAGGATAATATCTACACTGCTATGTAATAACAATTAGTGATTTTAACATTATATGAAAAGTATTCGGAATTTAAAATTTGCGGGCAAAGATATAAATAAACTCAAAATGGAGTCATAATTATATAAAATTTTATCAGCTAAAAAATTATTTAAATTTTTAGATAGCCAATTAATGTGAATTTTGAATTAAGGATAATATCTTCACTTACATCATTATAAAGATAATCATTATTGAAATATAAATTTTAAAAACTAAAATTTTAAATTAAAATATTTTTTTGAAAGGTAACAACATACCAAATAAGAGTTCAAGTCTTATCCAAAGAGTATTTCATATTATCTCAACTTTGGTTGCTTTGCTATAAATATAAGTTATTATTTTGCTTCCTGATTATTTTTAGGTTCCAATAACACTGCCGTGAATGATGTTGAAAAAGAAAATAGAATTATTCATTATGAGATTTTCAAAATAGTTATAAGGCTTTTCGTGTGCAGTGTTTTTTTTATTAATATCTAATGATTCTTTATATTTATCTAGAAAGTTTAAATTTTAAAGTTATTTACACATAATTCAAATAATTTAAATTACAATTTGACATGGTTAGTATTCGCGTATCTGTGCCGATACTAATACTAGTTGAATATTAAATTACAATTAAGTTAAAACCTCTTTAATAAGAATAAATAAGTTTACAATATAATACTATAGCTTGGTAAAAATCTCAAAATAAAAGAAAAAAAGGAAACCGGAAATATACAAACTCCAGCCAAAATCCAGTTTTAAGATTCTTGAAATAAAACCCTAAACCGGTAACCCAATACAGTGTAAGAATAAAATCTCTCAATCTGAGCCGACCTGTTGATCCAACGGTGCATAGCATCACGGCGCTCGTGCTTATCACACTCCCCGTTTCCTTACTTCACTGTTCAGCGCACTTCCATTCTCTCTCTAAACCCCGTCTTCTTTCTCTCTCTCTAGAACAGTGACTTCATCCCTCAATGATCACTATTTTTCCTTTTTATCAACTAAATTGATGCTATGGTCGTTCGGAACTAGCTTAGATATTTGAACTGTTAAAAGTTAATTTAAGAAGAAATACTATATTTTTTTTGGGGCTAATTTTGAGTTTGAAATTCGCATTTTTGGGAGGCGTAATTTAATGTTAGTGTTTTATGTGCAATGATTACTGATAGTTATTCAAAGATGATATCAATGGTAGGAGGAAACAACGATTTTAATGATCGGGAGAGAGAGCTAAGCATGTTGCGAAGCGGTTCTGCTCCGCCCACTTTTGAAGGATCGCTTAGCGCTTTTGCTGATTTTGGTGGTCTTTCAGAGGAATTAAGGTCTGATCCAGCCTACATTGCCTATTACTACTCCAACGTCAACCTAAACCCTTGCCTTCCGCCGCCTCTTCACTCCAAAGAGGACTGGCGGTTCGTGCAGCATCTCCAAGGTACTAATGCTGCAGCTAATGGTAGTTCTGTGGCATTAGGGGATATTGGAGACCAGAGGAAGTTGATTCGAGGTGATAAGGGAGCTGATGATAGGTCACTTTTTCCGATGCAGTTGGGATTTGGTCAGGAAGATGGAGATGTTGGAAAGGAGGATGAGAAGGAATGGTGCGGAGTTGGACTTATTGGGTTACGTGGGCTTGGATTAGGAAGCCAGCAGAAGAGCATTGCTGAGATGATTCAGGTACAAAGAGAAAATAAAACAGGTACAAAGAGAAAATAAAATATTATTATATTGGTTTTGGTTTGTCAGCTCCACGTTTCTAATTGATGGCTGTTGATATTTGTTAACTTGTTTATTGTGCCTGTTTAGTAAATTTTGAAACATTATTCCTGTTTATAGTGTTTGTTGAATGCTTTCTGTTTATATCGCTTTTTGCATCTCAAAGTTGGTTCTTTGACATTGCATTGGCATGCTTATGACTTAGAGGTCGTTTGGCTGTGGGTTAGAGATGAGTCATCCATGTATTAAAACTAGAAAACTTTGTACATTGTTTGGCTACAAAATTGGAGGAAAATAATCTCCGCATAGAATCTAGCATAAGTTATACAATGTCAGATCGTGTTTTTTTCTTTTCCACATAAAACATAGCATTGCTAATACAATATTTGGTTCATGTTTTCCTTTTCCGCATAACTAATACATATATTAGTTGTGAGGGAATCTATGTATTATTTATGCAGGGTAGAAGATGGAATAAATAATACATGTTAGTAATACACAGATTAAAACACAAAATGACAAGAGTACCCTCTATTCAAAGTTGTATTTTTTTAAAAAACATATTTAAAATATACTACCAATTTAGTAGAATAAATTAAACAAATTATTACTAATACTCACATTACATTTTTATATTACTAATTCCTACATAATTAATTTTCGTATAACTAATCTCCGCATAACTAATTCTCGTGTTACTAAATCTTGCATAACTAACCTCTGCATAACTAGTCCCTGCATAACTAAACCTTGCATAACTAAACCCCTCAATAACTAAACCCTGCATAACTTATTCGTACTAATACATTATTAATCCATGCATAACTCGTGTTCGAACCAAACAGCCCTTTAAGGTTGTAGCTCTCTGCATTTTTGAATATTGCTTGTCTGTAGCATTACTGTTTGTATTCATGTATTAGTCTGATTTGCACGATTGCCACTTCTTTAACCAGATGTCATTATTGCTGGTTGTCGTTTTCCTGATTGTCGAAGTGCGATAATTAGTATTTTGTGATACGTATTAAGTTTTTTCACCTGTGCCTTTTGGTTACCTTGGACAAAAAAGGAAAAAGTAGCTTAACATAGTTAGAACTTAAAACGTATACGCTTGGCCTTTATATGGTAAATCAGCTCAGAAGCTGGTGGTCGGTGGATCAAGCTCGTGTCCTTTAATTGTTGTGTTAGGAAAAAATATATGAATTGTCTGTTGTGCGTGCTTGTTTTGTTCTGAAATCTTTTGAAGTTTGACTGTTTAATTTTTTATGCCTGCCAGATTTCCTGTTGTTGAGTCTCTGCAGTTCTCATTTCTTACAATAATTGTTCTTCATTAAGTTGGAGTCACACATTTGTGCTCTGAGTCATCTTGGATTCTTTCATGGACAGTTTTGTTGGTGAGATACAGTAGATTTTTTTTTATCTCGAGGAAATTGGTAAAAAGTTGCTTATGCAATTTGTAGACCTTGTGGGCATTATAATTTAAACCCGTCCAAATATTTGGTTGCTCCAGCTTGTTCAACTGGAACAGCATGTACTTGGGTTTGACAATTAATGCATCAAGATATTTTTCAAGTTGGAAATGTTGTGTGTCAGACACGTGTTTGGAAGAGAGACCAGACTCTTTTGGTCGTTCTATCCAGTTTCCTAATACACAAATGGCTCCTCATACCGATGTCAATAAATGTCTTTTGCCTTTTTTCACCACCGGCTGCCTAATGTCACGGTACACCTGTAAAAGGTTGTTTTATCATTTGTTTTGGTGGCTTCCATCTGACTCAGTTGAGTTATTCACATTCATGTCATTGTTACTGACCTTTCTGATGTACCTTCAAAAACCTGGAATTACTTTGAATCACTGGTAATCGCTACCTGGACAGACTTGCATTCTTTGATCAATAATATCTGTAATCCATTCTCTTATCTTTATATTGAGCGATTTGTAAAGGTGTATAAATTTTTTACTGAAGATGGCATTTTGTTTCTTATGATATTTTTTTTCAGGGTGCTTCAAGTTGCATTATTATTCTTCCTCTATTCAGCTTGACTTGCTAAGCGAGTTCTTTTTCTTTTCTTTTCTTTTCTGGTGACTTTAATTTAAAGGGCTGTGGATTTATTGTTCTAAGACTCCTTCAGAAATGCAGGATGGTAGAAGTCAAGCAACATCTACTTCGAGGCATCCATCTTGTCCACCTAGCCGTCCATTCGATGATGTTGTCGATCCTTCTGGATCCCAATTTGTTCATCTCCATCACGAGTTGGCATCTTTGGATGCATTACATTCTCAGGCAAAGATCCAAGGCGCATCTGCACTCGAAAGCATCACCACATCAGGCTGTCAATCTTATGCTTCTGCTTTGGGCGCATCATTGTCACGAAGTACCACCCCTGACCCTCAGCTTGTAGCTAGAGCTCGTAGTCCTCGTATTCCTTCTGCTGGAGGATGGAGGATAAGCTCAATAGATAAAAGAAACGTAAATGTCCCTAACACATCGGAGAACGTTCCATCTAATATGGGGGAGCATGCTGATCTGGTAACTGCATTGTCTGGCATGGGTCTGTCAGTGCATGGTATGGGAGATGTACGAAAGCATCAAAATATTCAAAATCATAATGAGATCGATAATCATCAGAACCTCTTTCATCTGCAGAGGGATCAAAATCCTATGAAGCAGCATTCCTATGCAAACAAGTCTGAATCAGTTCAGTTTGGTAAATCTG